TTGAAGCCCATGATTCAGCTCAAGTTCTAAAATCATTAAAAAAAAAAAAGAAATACGTATATGTTTATCAAAAAAAAAAAAATACTCAATTTGGGAGACAAAAAGGTGAATAGCAGTTTAAACCCAGAATGGTTAATTAAAGAGAAGATATTAATAGTTACATCACATTTTGTCTTCATGTCTTGTGAAAAAACATTTAGTAGCTTAACTATAATGGCATGTATAAAGAAATGGGTTTTAGGTATTGTGCGATGCTGATTTTTTGACAAAGTCTGTTCGAAAATTGCAAGAGGAAGAGGATGAAATACAACGTGGACAATGACCAGAGCAATTCTAAGACAATAACATGACTACTTCTAATTTCATACCAAAACATTCGTCTTTTTTTATTGAAAGGGTCTTTAATTATTTCCATGTTGATGCGGCAAGTTTTCGTTTGTTTGCCTTCGTAAATGATGATTGTTTTAAGTGCAGATGATTTAACAACTAGGGCTTTGATTATATATTTATTAATTCCCTGCATATATCCTTTCTTCTTAATTTTCAAGTCAAATGTACATAATGCATGCGTATTGGCTGGGTCCTAGGTGGTTAAAGGTTTGAAGAATCACACCCATACAAATTTGCAAGGTATTCATAATACTATTATATTTAAGCTAGCATTTTTTTTTATCAATCAAATATTAATAATTTACCAATTTAGAGTATAAAAAATACTCCAACCTATACTTCACATATTTAATAACAATAAACTATAATTCTACTACTCTCACACTTTTTCTTTTATTAATTGATCTAAAATTTTTTAATTTAATACGCTTATATTTAAGTTAATATATTTTTTTTTACTAATTGATCTAATTAAAATTGTTTAACTGAAATGTTAGTACGTATCAGCATTAGGCCTTGCAATATGTGGGTTAACAAACTACATATATCCATAGTTCTCCAGATAGCAACCTCACATGAGTTGCGTGGGCTTGACGCAAAATGGGACTGAGTTCGATGCCATGTAAGCATCTAGATCAAAACCGTGGGTTAGCTGAGGGCTGGGTTGTGACCTGTGAGCATCTAAATCAAAAACCAATTAAAAACAGAAAGAGAGATTCATACAGTGTATCCGCAGACCACAGTTTTCACGACTTCTCTTTTTTGATAGATATGCCAGGTCATGAGGTTACTCTTGACTAAGTCTTAACCATTCTCATTCCTTTTTTAGGCCAACATAAAGAATATATTTATATTGGATAGCCTGCAGGTCAATGCTTTCATATCCTTATAATTAATATTGTTGCTAGCTAGAACAATAAGGTTGGATTAAAAAAATATTATTTTGTAAGTTAAATTTAAAATTTAAATTTTAAAGATATTAAAAAAATTTATTTTTTTAATGCACTAAATTAATACAAAAAATACAATTTAAGATTATTTTAAAAAATTAATATCAAAATACATAAAAATTAATTGAAAACACAACCTAACCTTATAAATTAGTTTGAGGTTCAATTTTCTAAAGTGCGGCATATCATTGGGTCAACTTTAAGCTTTTGGACCATGGATTCATTCTTAACAGGAAAACACTAAAACATGCATACATATATATATATATATATGTGTGTGTGTTAGAATTGGTCAAAGTCTAATCACTACACGTGACTCCCGTCCCCTCATTTTAATTTCCATTAATTTGCGCGGTTGTTGCTTGCTAGCTTCCATATAAAGGTTTCATTATTCCCCTTTTTCTCTAGAGGCGTAGAATCAATTCATATGAGTATATAATTATGGAAATAAATTTTAAATTTGATATTTTGTAACTATTATGATTGATTTAAAGATTTCTTAGCCTATACAAAAGTTCTTTTATATAATAGTTTCATACATATAAAAAAAATTTAATTTTACCTTCTCACTTTTTTTGCCATTTAGAGAGAGTTTTTTTTTTTTTTTTTAAAAAAGAGAGTACAAATAAAGAGAGGATGTTTTAATTAGTTAAAAAAGTTGAGATTTTAAATTAGAAATTTCAAATTTAAATTTTAAAATGAGTGAAAAAAATTAAAGAAAGTAAAGCACTATCTCCTATTATATAACATGTCTTTTGATGTAAAAAAATAAAAAATTAAAAAAAAAACTTCATACTTTTTTTTAATCTAAATTGTTAACTTCAATCCATAAGATTTTAATTTCGTTTTTTATTTTTGCAATTAATCCATTTTAGTTTTCTTTTCTTTTTCTCGAATTTTTTTTTCACAAAATTATTATTAACTTCTCCTAATTTCCTTTTTTAAAAAAAATAAATAAATTCCTTTGATTTGATTCACGATCGCTTAATTGATTTTCGCAAAAATAATTGCTCCTTTAGTATATGTTGTTTATATATACAGCAAAACTAGTTTTTTTTTTTTATAATAGCAAAACTAGTTAGGTATGATTAATTAGCAAATTATGATGGTGCATGGGAGATCTAGGATCCCTAAACTTGGGGAGATCGATCGAGAAGAACAGAAAAAACGCAAAAAGCTGAGAAAAAAATGCCTGAAGGTTGAAGATGGTGACATGCGCCGACTATCATCCTTAATGCCATGCTCCCATCTCCCTCTTTCACAAATACATGCCCTTTGACAGCTTCATTTCTTCACCCCCAAAAGTCTATTCCTTTACCCTCAACATTACTTCACCTTTAGTCATGACCTCATGTTTTTTTGACCTTTTCACTCAGCTATCCACAGTTCACAGCCAAAGAAAAAGAGAAAAAGATAGAGATTTAATTGGTCTGTACAGGACAAACTGTGTTTTTCTTGTAAAGGAAAGATCATCATGTCTCTGACACCAGACATTTGTGGGGAACATGCAACACCTCAGATATGTTCTGAAACGAAAATCGGCTTAATTAACCTCCCCTAGAAGCCCTCCAACTATTTGTTTTTGAGACTATTTGTCCCTCAACGTACATTTATATACTTTTTTTTTTTTTTATGAATAGAAAATTTGTATTAAAAAGAGTATAATGGGTACTCACCCATATACTACAAGAAGGGAGAAAGCATGAAAATTAAGATTCCTCTGCATAAAGAGCTGAAAATTGACACCAATCACCGAAACAAAACATAACAGAAGAAGAATTCCCCATACATTTATATATTTTAATTCATAAACTTCACGTTATTATTGTAATTTGCATAAAGGATACAAAGTCTCTTCACGTGAGTTATGTGGTTATTTCTACTCCATTACTTTATACTGCTCAATGCCATGCTAACATAAATATGATCTACTTATATCCATGAAAACATGAATAATCTTGCTTAGGACGAGACCCATGTATGTTTTGAGTGAAATTTTTCCATCTCTATGGGTTCTAGTGAACTCTATTTATGTTAGTATGGTGCTAAGAGTATAGGATAATAGAATAGTGATAGTCACATGACTCACATGATGAGATTTTATTTATTTTAATTTAATTACAACAATGACCAGAAGTTTAAAAGCTAAAGCATATAAAGTGTTTTTTTATTTTTTTTATTTTTTTGGAATAGCAATACAAAGTGTATGTTTTTTTTTTTTTTTGATGAATGAAAATTTATTAAAAGAGTACAAGAGGTACTCACCCTTACAACAGAAATGGGAAGACAAGAGTTACATTATACAAAGTGTATGTTGAGAGACTAATAATCTTAAAGACAATAGTTAGAGGGCTTTTAGAGGTATTATGCCACAAAAATTTTACTCCATTTATTTCAAAATAACTGTCATTTTTTTATTTTGAATTTATCTCAATTAAAATTAATTGTCTTTTTTT